TTTTGGCCGCCTGAACATGCCTTGAGGGCATTTCTGGTTTGGCGGGATTGCTTTTTTAAGCAGGCATGTAAACAACTGAGCTAATGGGCAGGCCCCCTATTTTAGGACTAATACTGCATGAGATAGTTTCTTTTGTTGGGTTAGATAAAACATGCTAAAACCTAATCTCAGAATAACAGTGAGCCCTCTCCCCAGCTCCTCAGAATAACACTTGATCTAGCTAATATGGGAAATTGGTTTTTTTCATTACAATAATAAGGCAAGTTATTCTGCTTTTTAAAAGTTCTTCAATTGTCATAATATGGCTAATGCTTGTTTTATCTACAAATAAATTATCAAAGCAATATTTGTGATAAAGCACAGTGCTTTATTGGAAAATCTTGGTTTCGCTACACAGATCAACTCACGGTGATCCTCCTGTTTTCAGCCTCCCAAGCGCTGGGATTACAGGTGCGCCCCACCATGCCTAGTCTCAGTCGGCATCTCAGCGCACCCAGGGGTCAGGGCCAGCATGGCACACCAGGGATTGAGCCCAGTCCCTGCATCTGCCTAAGCAAGAGCTTTGATCCACTGAGCTATCTGGCTAGTCCTTAATTGGAAGATCTTGAAGCTTAAAATATTTAGACAGTGCTTTTAAAATGTTTTGGGCTTTTATTTTTTTACAGTTAGTTGTGACAAGCACTATTTGTATGTTGAAAGTATTAGAATTCCTCATTGATATGTAAAACATTAGGCCTGGTATTTGGAGTAGAAAATATTGTATCATTAAAATATAAACACGATCTAGCTACATGTTTGAGAGCAGCCTGCTTTGCATGGTGAATTCAAGGCCAGCCTGGTTGACATAGCAAACAAAACAAAACATATAAATGGGATTGTAATAGATTTTGCCTTTTCAAACCTTCTAGGTACCCATAAGCATAGGGATTAAACTTGAATATTGAGCAGGCCTAGCAGATTAACAGATTGAACAGTTGTGGTTGAATCTGTCCTTAGAACTTCCATTTTTTTTATTAAATTAAAAGTTATTTATTTATTTGGTACAGGGTTTTGCTACACAGCTCAGACTCATAGTGGTCTTCCTGTCTCAACCTCTCTGGTGCTGGGATTACAGGCATGTGCTCCATGCCTGGTTTTAACATGTAGTACCCTGGATCAAACTCAGGTCCTTGTGCTTACCAGGCAGGCACTTAGCCCATCAAACTATCTTCTCAGCCTGAGAACCTCTATTTTTTAAGTGAAATGTTTAGTATATTACTGCTTTTTTATCTGTTTTCTTATTTTCTGTTTGTTTTGGCATATTTTGAATTGAGTGTGTTTGAGTATTATGTATCTTATGTTAGGGTACATTTTTCTAAATTTCCTAGTGGTTCTTCCAGGACTTATAATATGCATTGTTAACTTTGTACAGGGTTAACTGAATTAATAGTACAGAATTAAACATTTGTATCTGACAGTCATAAAAACAAATTTGTTGAATTTTATGGGTTATCTTCCATTTTCCTTGGCCTGCTCCCTTTATGAAATTCTGAATACGATGACAATGTTAGAACAAACACCACATTTTAGTAATTTATTTTGAATTAAAAGTATTTACCTCAATTCTCATCAACTTTGTACCTTAGTTTAAAATTGATGCTTTTGGTAGCCATGCAGAAGAATCAGATAATGAGAAGCCAAAAACTATTATGGATACTCTACATATTTTCCCCAAATTAGAATTTCTACATCCTTCAGAATTGAACAGTAGAGGCAAAATGATTGTTTACTCACTTTTGTTTTGACTTAATTTGACTCAGAGAAGTGTTTTAGGAGATCGTCCAGGTTGTCCTGAGAATTTTCTCAATGAATTTAATCTTTAATTTTCTCAATGAAGTCTAATGGTCTGCTTTTCTTTTTCTTTCGTCTTTTCTTTTTTTTTTAAATTTTTGAGACAGTCTTGCTGCGTAGGTCAGGCTGGCCTTGACCTCACTATGTAGCCCAGGCTGGCCTGAAGCAATCCTCCTGCCTAAGTGCTGGGATTACAGGCATGGGCCATCGGGTGAGGCCTTCAGCTTTTCTGATGCATGACGTAGAAGAGTCTCTTAATTAGAATTCGAAATCTGTTTTCTACACATACTGAAGTACTTCTATTTTTGTAGTCCAGTTCTTTTATTTATTTATTTATTTATTTATTTTTGGTACAGGGGATTGAACTCAGGATCTTACACTTGCCAAGCAGGAATTTTTGCTGCCAAGCTATCTCCCCTCTCCAGCCCTGTTTTTCTCCCCTTGAACTGTCATTAGAGTTCTCCAAGTGGTATCTAGTCTTAGTAGTATTAAATTGTATGAACTGTAAGAAAACTTGACATTGCTTTGAGCATTCAGATGATACCCTAAGTACTGATTTCTACTTATAAAAACTTCTCTATCTGTCAAAGCCTGTAACAACTATGAATAATGAAATCTCATGTAAAGTCAACTTTAAATTTTGGTTTATGACATCAGGGACATGAGTATAATTTCCTCTAAATTACAGTTTAAAATTTTGATTTTTGAATTTAGAAGAAGAAAATTCTTTTACCAAAAAATAAGTAACTGAAAATAATTAGTTTATATACATATTTCATTGCATTTGTTTGGTAGAAATAAATGTTTACAAATATTTTATATACTAAATACTTTTTGTCAAAGGTTAATATTTAGAGATATCTAATACAGTATTTCAAGAGTTTAAGCCTCATGCACATACTATTTCATACACACAAAGTTCAACTTAACACTTTCCTTTTCTCTGTAGGTTAACTAATTGTAAGATGTTTCAAGAGACACAGGACACAGCTCAGTGCCTCAGTCAGGGAGAATTCCAGTGACATCTGCAGTGGAGAATTATGTGGACAGTGGGAAAGAGAAGAGGCGGAGATTGGAAGAGCACGTGGGAGAGTAGGACAGTAGGTCAGCTGTAAAATGTAAAAGCACATAGAGCCTTAAAATTTTTTTTTTATTGTGTCTGTAGCACTTTAACATGTGATTATACTTAATAGGAGAATAAGAAATAGTTGCCCAAGTCACCACTGGCATAAATAAAGAGGATGTATGTTTCTGTGAAGGACGATTCTAGTAGTTTCAAAGACTTCTCTTGCTATAAGAAAAGGCTAACATTTTGTTTTAGGACTTCAAAGAAAATTAGGCACCTTATAGTTTTACCACATTTTATTTAAACTATCAGTTCTGATGAATTTTTCCCCCATTGAATACTAAAGACAACTTTATTTTGAAAAATTTTAAATTACAGTTGAATTGTATTTTTTATTAATTTTATTGAGAAAAAGCAGTAAGACTCAGTTTCAAAACCCATTAGTAGGGCAGTTTCAATAATTAATACATTGCATATTGTTGTCTTCATAGTGGTTATTCATAGTAGAAGATGCAGACATGATATCCTGTCCAAACACTATTAGTACAAATCTTTCTTCTCGTTGAATTAAGAGAAAGTAGCCGTGTATCTATCCTATTTTGTATATGCAGATACAAAATGGTCCTTTCCTTATATCCCCTTTTTTTAGTTTGTCAGAGATGGGTATTCTATTGCTATTTAAATATTGTGGGTGCGTGAATTCAGCAAAATAATCCAATATAGTCCAGTAGTCCATAATAGTAGAAAAACATGCAAGGCTTCGCAGATTTGCGTGTCGTCCTTGTCCAGGGCCGTGCTAATCTTCTCTGTATCGTTCCAGTTTTAGTATATGTGCTGCTGAAGCGAGCACTTGAATTGTAAATACAGTACAAAGAATTGTGATACTCATTTTTCACATTTGTCAACTTTTACTGATATTTCATCTACCGTTTTACAGAATTACAAGATTTTTTTTTTTTTTTTAGAATTACAAGATTTTTATTCTCTTTCTCTTTCTTTCTTTTTTCTTTTTTTCTTGCAGAACCGGGTATTGAACTCAGGCCCTTGTGCTTGCCAGGGAAACACTTATTCCACTGAACCATCTCCCTGGCCCCTTTATTCTCTTTTGAAACAATCAGATTCAACAAATTTTTTTTTAATTTTTATTTATTTATTGTTTGTATTTTAGGGATGGGTGTCCAGGGTCTCAATACTAGATCGGATTTGTAGTGATTCTCCTGTTTACAGTCTCCCAGGAGCTGAGATTACAGGCATGCACCACCACACCCAGTCTCACCTGCTTGCACGTGCTTTAATCTGCTGAGCTATTTGGCCAGCCCAGAGTCAACAAATGTAATGTGAACGAAATTCTCCTTTTTAAAAAAAATTGTTAATATATGTTTGTAATATATACATCCATTGTGTTCATTGTGAGGTACTGGTGCATGTATGTGTTGCTTCTTGATCCTTTTTTACTTCCCCTTCCCCTTCTGCCTTCCATCTCTCCCTAGTCCCTTCCCACCTCACCCCAATGTGAGCCCAAGTCTGTCGTACAGTCTTCCCTCACATTTGCCAGTTGTCTCTCCACCCTGTGCTCCAGTTTAGGATTCAATCAGGATTGAGCGTGGACCAGGTGTTACACTTCAGTTTTTAACATGGCACAGTCGTTTAGCTTTGGCTTTCATAATAGCTGTGAGGAAAGTTTAGCACTCAAGAATAACTTTTTAGAGAATGTTAAAATTAGAGTTTTTATGAATCATTTGCATAGGGCCAGCAAGATGACGCAGTGGTCTAAAGAGCCTGCTTAGGCAAACTTAGGTAAGCACACAGGGCCCGTGGTTCGATCCCTGGCATTACATGCTACACCAGCCTCAACCCCAGGGTGGCCTGAGCTAGTCACACACACACAAAAAAAAAACCTAAAATAAATTAAAAACAAATCATTTGCATTTCCTCTTTATAAATATTGTTGGCTTTTTGTGTTTGCTGTCACATGTTTATGTTATTGTTTTTAGCTTCTTCCTATGGCATTTCTGTTCTGTTCATTTTGAGCCGCTCGGTTACCAGAAAAAAACATGTAAAGTAATTTTAATTTTCATTTTAAAGTAGGGCTGAGCTTGTTGAAAGGATTAGAAAGGAAAGCAGAAGCTTAAGGTGGTACTGTTGGTCTGTCCTGTGAAGTACCGCAGGGGAGCCAGCTGGAAACCCCTGGTTGCTGATATTTCTTGTTTGATTTCCGAATGGCTTCTCAGTGAAGTGTAAGTATAAGGAATCAAAATCAAGAGTTGGGGGCCAGGGAGATGGCTCAGTAGAATAAGTGCTTGCCTGGCAAGCACAAGGGCCTGAGTTCAGTCCCTGGTTCTGCAAAAAAAGAAAAAAAAATGAAGAGTTGATACTGCAGAATTTGATATTAACAGGTAAAATAATGAACTAGAATGAGCTTCAACTTCATAGCTTCGTAAGAGCTTAGTGACACTCATTGCTGGATATGTTGCCCTCCCCCTGCAAGTATGGTCTTGCTTATGTGCTCCAGGTGGATTCCTGGTTCAGATTTCCTGCCTCAGCCTTCTGAGTAGCTGGTCCTGCAGGTGTGTGCCACTGTGCAGGCTATGGGTGTGTACTGTGGACCAAATGTTTAACCTTTAGAGAATTCCTGGAGGTGATAGAGGCATTGCAGAGATTGTGTACAAAATGCATGATAATGCCTGGCACATACTCAATACATGATGGGTCATTTTTCTAAAATCATAGATTGTCAGCATTAGATGGCATGTTAGAAATCACCCCAGTAAGTAAACCAGTGAGAACAAATGCGTGATTTACTGCCTCTATGAGTGTGAACTTGACAGTAGGGATTGTTGGTGTCTTTGTGCCCTGTAGAGTGCAGCAATGAACTTTAGATATTTAAGTTTTGAGAGTCACCTTACTCTTACGGTATGCATTAGTAAACCGTGCAATTGCAGCTTTGTCAGGGTACTAGTAGAACTGAAGCAGAGGTTTTAGAAAGGTGCATTTCATTTGTAAATTACTTATTTATTTATTTTTCGATAACAAAAGTCAAACTTAGGACCTTGTACTTGCCAGGCAAGTGTTGATGCCCCTGCGCTATCTTCCCAGCTGACTTCTGAATTTTTATATTCCTTGCTAAGAATTCTGTGAAGCAGGCATAAGATGTATTAATGTAGCTCTGCAGCATATGTGATCATGGTCATGCTTGAGTTCTGTTGCATGGTGAATCACTTTGCTGTAACTGTTTCTTAGTCCTTACCCTTTTGATTCTACCTGTAGCTGTACTAGCTTAACAGCCTGTGGTTGTTTAGTTGTTCAGTATATCTTTGGAGCAATTAGTAGAAGGATTGATATTTCATGAGGTTTTTGTTTTTGTTTTTTTTTTTTTCTTTTTTTTGGCATAACCAGGGATTGAACTCAGGCCCTTGTACTTGCCAGGCAAGTGCTTATTCTACTGAGCTGTCTCCCTGGCCCCATTATTTTAGAGATCTTCCAAAGAAGAGAGAGAACATTTATATATATTTTTTAAATAGATAAAAAAAATCATAGATTTTTTTTTATCTCGGGGCTGGTGAGATGGCTCAGTGGTCTAAAGCACCTTCTTAGAACAAGCTAAGCCAAGCAAAGCACAGGGACCTCGGTTCAATCCCCCAGCACCACATGCCAGCCCGCCCGCCCCCTGGTGGGCTGAGCTGGCCACACACAAAATAAATAAATAAATAAATAAAGGTATGTGTTCAATTTAAAAAAAAAAAAAAAAATCTCCATCTTCCTTTCAATAACCATTTGTGTCCACTGGATCAGTTTTTATTTTATTATTATTATTTATTTATTTTTTAGAGAAGCGTTTACAGGGTGTTCAGGGTCTGTTAGATCGGACTCATAGTGATCTGCCTGTTTACAGCCTCCCAAGAGCTGAGATTACAAGCGTATGCCACCACGCCCAGTCTCACTTGCCATCTCAGTGCACCCTGGGGGCGGGGCTGGCACTGCAGTGGATCAGTTTTTAAATATAAGATGCCTATCAGGATGTTCCTGTATCTTGAAACTTTTTATTTCAACCAGCAAATTATTTCATTCTTATTCGTCAGTTATTCTCATTTATGCTAAAAGGAATAGGGCTGAAGCAGTAAGAAAAAAATAGAAGGATGATGAAATTGTCTAGGGCAGAGGTTAGCAGACAGTTTTTATGAATGTTCAGATAGTAAATATTTTTTAAGACTTTCAAGGGGCCGGGGAGATGACTCAGTGAAATAAGTGCTTCCCTGGCAAGGGCAAGAGTCTGAGTTCAATCCCCGGTTCCACCAAAAAAAAAAAAAAAAAAAAAAAAAAAAGACTTTCGGGCTTCAAATGGTCCCTGTAGTATGTTATTCTTTAAACAACTTTGTGTGTTATGAATTTTGAATCCAGGGACTTCTCACTGAGCTATAAAAAGCACATCTGTAAATGCCAGTGCATTGGGAGGCTGAGGCAGGAGGATCACAACTTTCAGAGCCCAGCCTAGGCAGTTGGTGACTTCATGAGACCCTGTCTTAAAATAAAAAGTTTTTGAGGATACAGCTCAGTGTGAAGACCCTGGGTTTAATCCCCGGTATTAGAAAGCAACATCAAAGGCAAAAACATCTCTCAAAACTTAAAACCCATTCTTAGCTCCCAGGTCACACAGAAGGTGGTTGTGGGCCAGATTTGGCCTGTGGACCTTTGTCCCTGCACTACCCTGTGTAAGTTTTGTTACTGCACTACTCGAGAGAGTGCCATCGTTCATGAAGTACGAAAGAGGACATCCTTGTGGTCTTCTTAGCTTTTATTAAAACAGTATATGGAATTTACACTTTTCTCTTAATGGCAGAGAAGTTGATAGGAAATTACTAGAGAAATAAGAATACAAAATACAAATACAAAAGGAGATATTCTATACTGAATGGGGTGAAATTACTTGTAAAAGCAAAATCCCAGATTCTGTATCTTTAGATGATGATCACTTCTGAATTTTCTCAAGTAGTTTATGGTTGAAAAGTATATTTCTGAAGACCAAAAGAATATATGGTATTTTACTTAGTCATTTAGGAAGAAAGAATTATTACAGTATTTTGTGACTTTTTCAATTAGTAGTAAAAAGATGGGTGCTGGTAATTTTATATCATATTTGTACTTCGGACTTGAGTAAATATGGCTTGCAAGCAGACAGATGTGGAAAGCTGGTTGGAAGGAAATAGGTGTAAAAATGAGAAGAGTCACTGGGTCAAATGTTAATATAAAAATAGTTTTGCAAATTATGGATCACACATGATAAACACCCTTGGTTCAAATTACAAGCCATCAGTAACAGGTTTCAAAGTGTCCAGCTTCCAAGTATTGCATTTTGATTTGCAGATGCCAGGAAAACAACAAGATGTAATTATAAGCAAGACCCTGTGAAAAATCTGCGGAGGTTTATAAGATGGATATATAGTCCATGTTCGTCCCTAATGCCTGAACAGTTATGTGCAGAGAACATGACCTGTTTCAGCCATATATGTAACTTAAAAGTAGGGAACGTGTAGAATGAATATCTTAGTTTGCTGCATTTTATTTTTTTAATCTTTATTTATTTGCTATATTTTATCTTATTTTATTTTTTTTAAATGGCAGGAGTGTT